ACCTTTTTTTTCCTCCTGTTATACCCAAACCATGTCATTGGCGCCTTAATGAGACCTTTCTTTCACAGACCATTTTAGAGATGAACTGTCGCAGGGACTTGATACCTACTACTTTACACACAATGTTGGCTCCGTTGCCTCTTCCTCAACTCTGTGGGAGGCCCATAAGGCGGTCTTTCGAGGACTCTGTATTTCTATGGGTTCTCGTTTAAAAAAAAAATCCTCGGCGAGTGCTAGGGCCTCTCTTATACATCAGCTATCTTTTTGCGGAACGACGGTTACTGGCCAAGCCGTCCAATTTCTGGGCTCCAGAGGGTAACATCTCTACGGGACCGAATTAAAGTTCTCGACTCCAGTAAGACTGCACAATCCTCCTCTGGGTTAAGCAGAAATTTTATGAATTTTCCAACAAACCCCATCGTATGTTAGTCAATCGACTCAAAGCTCAGTCCCCTTCTATGATGCCTGACCTTTTAATTCAGCCAAATGGAAGCCCTACCTATGACCCTCGGATATGGCAACCCTTTTTGGCTCATTCTATGGGAAAAACTGTATAACTGTTTGACCCCGGACCTTCACCCGCCCCTCACACAGTCATCGTTTGATAATTTTTTTGACCCTTTGTCACTTCCGAGAATATCACCTTCAGACATTGCCACCCTTAATGCTGACATTACGCTAGAGGAATTACTTGGACACAATTAAACATCTCCCTTCTCGTAAAGCCCCGGGACCGGATGGATTGCCCTACTCCTATTATAAATCTTTTATTGGTATTCTGGCACCTCATCTCCTCTCTTTTTATCGAGATCTTTTCAAGGGGGTCACACCCCAGACTGAATTCTCCCGTGCATATATCTCGGTTATCCCTAAACCCGATAAGGATCACTCTATTGTAGACAACTACCCGCCCCATTGCCCTACTTAATTCTGATTATAAGATTTTCACTAAAATTTTGGCCAACCGACTGTCCGGAATTATTTCCATTACTCATACATAGGGACCAAGTGGGCTTTGTACCTGCCAGACATGCTGCAGATAATACCAGGAGATCTATTGATCTGGTTGACTTGGTTAACCGATCCTCTACCCCTGCTGTGTTATTGAGCTTAGATGCTCAAAAAGCTTTCGACCGTTTAAGTTGGCCTTATATGTTCATGGTCTTGGAGAGATTTGGTTTTAGAGGCCCATTTGTAGCAGCCTTGAAGGCCCTTTATTCATCCCCTTCTCGCAGGTCAGATTAGCTTCTTTTTCTTTCACTTCCCTTTCAGATGTCAAATGGCACACGTCAGGGTTGCCCACTCTCTCCCTTGCTGTTCATTCTTTGTCTGGAACCATTAGCCATCGCCATCAGGTCGAATCCGGATATTCGCGGGATACAATCCCATTCCCATGAGTACAAGTTATCGTTATTTGCAGATGACATCCTCCTCACACTTACGAGCCCCCACACCTCCTTACGATTTTGCATGAGACTCTGAAACAATTTGGGCTATATCAGGCTACAAAGTCAACACGTCCAAAACTGAGGCACTCCCAATACATGTTCCACCTGCTGTTCTAACCTCGCTTCAGCAAGCCTTTCCCTACCGGTGGTGCACCCACTCTTTAAAATATTTAGGTACTAATCTTACTTCCTCTTACCAATCCATATCGAGGCCAATTTCCCCCCACTATTTATAGCAATTTCTCGCTCTCTGAAACATTGGGATACCTTGCCCATCTCTTTCCTCGGACGCATCAACGTCTTAAAAATGACCGTGTTACCAAACTTTTATACCTGTTTGCAACTCTCCCCGTCCCCGTTCCTATGTCCAAACTTCACTCCCTTCAGAAATCTTTCCTACATTTTATTTGGCACAATAAGCGGCACAGGATTGCACGTTCTGTTTGCTCTCCCCCGCGTTCTAGGGGGGGATTGGGGGCGCCGGATATAATAACATACTACTATGCAACTCACCTTCGTTTTCTCATGTCATGGTCCACCCACCATCCTCCCAACACATGGACTGAGATCGAATCATTGCAACTGTCCCCAGCTCATCCATGTTCCCTCCTTTGGTCGACCTCAGCAGTGGATGTCTCTTCCTTCCGCCACCTATTCCTTGGTCCCATGCATTTTTCACTGACTGTTTGGCAGAAATGTAAGGCTAAATTTACACTGGCCTCTGATTGCTCCCCACTGACAAATATCCTCTATAACCCTAATCTTCCAGATAATATGGCCATGTCCGGATGTCTCTTTGGGTAGTAGCTAACCTTTTTCAATTGCGTCACTTGGTACACCCGGGTGACTCGTAAGTTACACTCATTCCCGGATCTTCAGAAAAAAAGCTCCTCTACCTCCTCATCACCTATATATATACCTTCAAATACGCCATTTTTTTTCTACCTTATCACCCTCATTGATCCTGGGGAAGCCTACTCCCTTCGAACGTTTATGTATGCAGGGTCCCCACCAAAGGGGGTATTATCTCTAATACTTATAAACTCCTTATGGATGCCCCCCCTTTATCCAATGACACTCACCTTTACATGCGTAGGTGGTCTCAATTTGTACAACGTGATATTGATTTATTAACGTGGAAGAAAATCTGGGAAAATGCATCTAGATCTTCTGTCTGTGTGGTTTTTAGGGAAAATATATACAAGATCATGATGTTATGGTACAAAACACCTGAAGTTCTTCATGCTTATAATCCGAATGCTTCTCCCTGCCTGCTGGCGCTGTAGTAGAGATCTTGGTTCTCTCTACCATATCTTTTGGACATGCAACTCCATTGCCCCTTTTTGGGAAGAGGTCCGCTCCTTGTTGCAATCGTTGTTGCATATCATCTCTCTCCATTTGACCCACTGCATTTTTTGCTGGGCTTGCCATTCCCGGGTCTACCTAAACCAGCTAGAAAACTTGCTGTACATGTTTGACCGCGGCCAGGAGAAGCATTCCTATGTGTTGGTTATCTTCTACTCCCCCTTCATTTGCATTGCGATTTTGTACAAACTTGTTGCTGATGTAAGACAGATGGAATATTTGACTGCATTACATAATTGTTCGTTTGCTGTGTTTGAGATGATTTGGCTCCCGTGGGATACCTTCATTTCCTCTATGCCGGCCCAAAATGTAAGACCCTGATTACTTTCGCACTGTTATTATATGATTTCCACTGGTCCTGATCATATGTAGTTTTACCATCGATGTACCTTTCTGATATGCTTTTTTTTTCCTTATCTTTTTTAAAAATATACTGTTTGTACTCACATGAAAAACCAATAAAAATTGTTAATAAAAAAAAAAAAAAGAAAAAAAAATCACTGTGCAAATACTGTGTGCAACAAAAAATTTGGAACACCCACCATTTTATTCTCTATGGCCTCTGATTTAAAAAATATATCATGTTTAGCAGTTCAAAGTGATTTTATAACAAAATAACTTTTATTCATGTAAACAAAAAGTGTCAGAAAAGGCTTGGTCTTCAAGTGGTTGGAAGAGTGGGTGGTGTGTAGCATAAGCTTCTAACATTACAAATGACCCCTTATTGGAAAGTAGACACTCCAAGGTATTTGCTAAGGGGCATGATAAGAATGTTTTCTTTTTCAAAACCCTGTGAAAAAAAATTATATCTGAAAAATACCCACCATGCCTCTCAAAAATTCTTTGAAGTGTCTACTTTACAAAAATGGTAATTTGGGGGGTGCTTGTACTATCGTGGCATTTTAGGGCCTCTGAAACTGTGATAGGTAGTGAGGAAGTGACATGAGGAAATATGCCCTTTAAAATCCTGGAGATGGTCATTGGATTTTTGGGGGCCTGTATGTAGCTAGGCTGCCAAAAAGTCTCTCACATGTGGTATCCCCATACTCGGGAGAAGTAGAAGAATGTGCTTTTGGGTGTTATTCCACATATAGCTGTGGCATGCATGAGCACTAGAGATGAGCGAAGAAATGAAAAATTCGATTCGATTCGGCGAATTCGTGACAATATTCGATTCGAGTCGAATAAATTCGCTGTGAATTTAACTTAAAAAAAGGGTGGGCTTCACTTAATATTAGTGCAGAACACTGTACCTTTAATTTAAATGCCCTTGGAGTCTGCTGGGGAAGAGAAATAATACTGTCAGTCAGTATGACATGCAGATGAGTGCCGTCGATCTTAGAATCACCGCACACTTCACTCATTTGGCCAGTCACGGGGCCAAAACCAGTGTTTGGAGCCACAGTGTGGCGGTGGAGGCAGCAGCAATGGGAGGCCATACAGCAACCTATGACAAAATGGAAACCAGCAGGAGTGTGAGGAGACCTGAAAGTGGCACATGGCAGAGTGGGAGCAATGGGAGGCGGTACAGGGACCCAGGTCACACTGTGGGCCCAGCAGCAGCGTGACCAGGCGGTACGGGGGCCCATGGCAGATTTGGGGCCTGGCAGCACCCTATGGGAGGCCTGTAACCTGCCAGCAACCTATGACAAAATGGAAAACCGCAGGAGTGTGAGGAGACCTCAAAGTGGCACATGGCAGAGTGGGAGCAATGGGAGGCGGTTACAGGGACCCAGGTCACACTGTGGGACCAGCATCAGCGTGAACAGGCGGTACGGGGGCCCATGGCCGATTTGACCTCGTTCATCCATAGTCCTGCCGACTCACGTCACGAATAGCGTGGCCTCCTCAAAGGGGGCTGAGCAAGCGCAGGTGTCACGCATGAGCTGACAATGGCTGACATCTAAGTTACACAGGGAGTACCTTTATCCGCTTTTAACATCAGGAAATCTGTGATGGCCTTTCGCTGTTCGTAAAGGCGGTCTAACATATGTAGTGTTGAATTCCACCCTTGTTGCAACGTCACAGCATGAGGAGTCGGTACGGGGGCCCATGGCAGATTACGTGCCTGGCAGCAGCAATGGGAGGCCCGTAATCTGCCAGCACCCTATGTCAAAAAATTGAACACACCAGCAGTGTGAGGAGACCTCAAAGTGGCACATGGCAGAGTGGGAGACAGCAATGGGAGGCGGTACAGGGACCCAGGTCACACTGTGGGCTCAGCAGCAGCGTGACCAGGCGGTACGGGGGCCCATGGCCGAGATTGGGGCCTGGCGGCACCTATGGGAGGCCTGTAATCTGCCAGCACCCTATGACAAAAATGGAACCAGCAGTGGGAGATTTCAAAGTGGGGCAGGCAGAACCGCCGATTTGGGGCCTGGCAGCACCTATGGGAGGCTGTAATCTGCCAGCACCCTATGTATCTTTATCACACGGTTTTCCCAGGCCACCGAATGGCGACGCTGCATATGCTGACGCAACGCTGTAGTCCCAACATGGGCCCCCTGGCCACGCTTGACTTTCTGGCCACATAGTCGACATACGGCTACGTTTACTTCCTCGGGCGGCTTGACGAAAAATTGCCACACCGCAGAGTAGGAAACTTTGCCTCCGCTACTCCTCACTGGCTGACTGCTACTTCCTCCGTGCACACCGGCACCACTACTGGCCGTGGTGGTAGGCTGCAGTGGAGTGGTGCTCTACTCCGTGGCCGTTTGCCTCCACTGACACTGCTGCGACCCTGCTGCCTCCTGGCAGCAGCAATGGGAGGCCGTACAGGGACCCATGAGAGACTCTGGACCTGGCTTGGCAGCAGCATGAGGAGGCGGTATATAGGGGCCCATGGCAGATTAGGGGCCTGGCAGCAGCTATAGGAGGCCCGTAATCTGCCAGCACCCTATGTCAAAAAATTCTACACACCAGCAGTGTGAGGAGACCTGAAAGTGGCACATGGCAGAGTGTGGCGATGGAGACAGCAGCAATGGGAGGCCGTACAGGGACCCATGAGAGACTCTGGACCTGGCAGCAGCATGAGGAGGCGGTATATAGGGGCCCATGGCAGATTAGGGGCCTGGCAGCAGCTATAGGAGGCCCGTAATCTGCCAGCACCCTATGTCAAAAAATTCTACACACCAGCAGTGTGAGGAGACCTGAAAGTGGCACATGGCAGAGTGTGGCGATGGAGACAGCAGCAATGGGAGGCCGTACAGGGACCCATGAGAGACTTGGACCTGGCAGCAGCATGAGGAGGCGGTATATAGGGGCCCATGGCAGATTAGGGGCCTGGCAGCAGCTATGGGAGGCCCGTAATCTGCCAGCACCCTATGTCAAAAAATTCTAACACCAGCAGTGTGAGGAGACCTGAAAGTGGCACATGGCAGAGTGTGGCGATGGAGACAGCAGCAATGGGAGGCCGTACAGGGACCCATGAGAGACTCTCTGGACTTGGCAGCAGCATGAGGAGGCGGTATATAGGGGCCCATGGCAGATTAGGGGCCTGGCAGCAGCTATAGGAGGCCCGTAATCTGCCAGCACCCTATGTCAAAAAAAATTCACACACACCAGCAGTGTGAGGAGACCTGAAAGTGGCACATGGCAGAGTGTGGCGATGGAGACAGCAGCAATGGGAGGCCGTACAGGGACCCATGAGAGACTCTGGACCTGGCAGCAGCATGAGGAGGCGGTATATAGGGGCCCATGGCAGATTAGGGGCCTGGCAGCAGCTATAGGGAGGCCCGTAATCTGCCAGCACCCTATGTCAAAAAATTCAACACACCAGCAGTGTGAGGAGACCTGAAAGTGGCACATGGCAGAGTGTGGCGATGGAGACAGCAGCAATGGGAGGCCGTACAGGGACCCATGAGAGACTCTGGACCTGGCAGCAGCATGAGGAGGCGGTATATAGGGGCCCATGGCAGATTAGGGGCCTGGCAGCAGCTATGGGAGGCCCGTAATCTGCCAGCACCCTATGTCAAAAAATTCAACACACCAGCAGTGTGTGAGGAGACCTGAAAGTGGCACATGGCAGAGTGTGGCGATGGAGACAGCAGCAATGGGAGGCCGTACAGGGACCCATGAGAGACTCTGGACCTGGCAGCAGCATGAGGAGGCGGTATATAGGGGCCCATGGCAGATTAGGGGCCTGGCAGCAGCTATAGGAGGCCCGTAATCTGCCAGCACCCTATGTCAAAAATTCAACACACCAGCAGTGTGTGAGGAGACCTGAAAGTGGCACATGGCAGAGTGTGGCGATGGAGACAGCAGCAATGGGAGGCCGTACAGGGACCCATGAGAGACTCTGGACTGGCAGCAGCATGAGGAGGCGGTATATAGGGGCCCATGGCAGATTAGGGGCCTGGCAGCAGCTATAGGAGGCCCGTAATCTGCCAGCACCCTATGTCAAAAAATTCAACACACCAGCAGTGTGTGAGGAGACCTGAAAGTGGCACATGGCAGAGTGTGGCGATGGAGACAGCAGCAATGGGAGGCCGTACAGGGACCCATGAGAGACTCTGGACTGGCAGCAGCATGAGGAGGCGGTATATAGGGGCCCATGGCAGATTAGGGGCCTGGCAGCAGCTATAGGAGGCCCGTAATCTGCCAGCACCCTATGTCAAAAAATTCAACACCAGCAGTGTGTGAGGAGACCTGAAAGTGGCACATGGCAGAGTGTGGCGATGGAGACAGCAATGGGAGGCCGTGGGAGGCCGTATAGGGACCCATGAGAGACTCTGGACTTGGCAGCAGCATGAGGAGGCGGTATATAGGGGCCCATGGCAGATTAGGGGCCTGGCAGCAGCTATGGGAGGCCCGTAATCTGCCAGCACCCTATGTCAAAAAATTCAAACACCAGCAGTGTGTGAGGAGACCTGAAAGTGGCACATGGCAGAGTGTGGCGATGGAGACAGCAGCAATGGGAGGCCGTACAGGGACCCATGAGAGACTCTGGACTTGGCAGCAGCATGAGGAGGCGGTATATAGGGGCCCATGGCAGATTAGGGGCCTGGCAGCAGCTATAGGAGGCCCGTAATCTGCCAGCACCCTATGTCAAAAAATTCAACACACCAGCAGTGTGTGAGGAGACCTGAAAGTGGCACATGGCAGAGAGTGTGGCGATGGAGACAGCAGCAATGGGAGGCCGTACAGGGACCCATGAGAGACTCTGGACCTGGCAGCAGCATGAGGAGGCGGTATATAGGGGCCCATGGCAGATTAGGGGCCTGGCAGCAGCTATAGGGAGGCCCGTAATCTGCCAGCACCCTATGTCAAAAAATTCAACACACCAGCAGTGTGTGAGGAGACCTGAAAGTGGCACATGGCAGAGTGTGGCGATGGAGACAGCAGCAATGGGAGGCCGTACAGGGACCCATGAGAGACTCTGGACTTGGCAGCAGCATGAGGAGGCGGTATATAGGGGCCCATGGCAGATTAGGGGCCTGGCAGCAGCTATGGGAGGCCCGTAATCTGCCAGCACCCTATGACAAAAAATGGAACACACCAGCAGTGTGTGAGGGAGACCTGAAAGTGGCACATGTTTGAGGCATGATTCATGGCGGATTTAGTCAGTTGTGTCAGGAACTGGTGGTTTGAAATCAGACTAATCCACGCCTGATTCATTTTCACAAACGTGAGTCTCTCCACACTTTGGGTGGACAGTCGTGTCCTCCGCGGAGTTACAATACCTCCTGCCGCACTAAACACGCGCTCCGATGCCACGCTACTGGCCGGGCATGACAGCCTTTCAAGGCAAATTCAGCTAGTTGGGGCCAAAGGTCAAGTTTCGTTGCCCAGTAGTCAAGGGGATTGTCTACCTCGGTTGGCAGGGTGCTGTCCAAGTAGGCCCAAGCCTGTTGTTTGAGGTCCTGCTCCAGGTCCACCTGATGCTGCTGCTGCTGCTGCTGCTGGGCTGGTTAGTAGTTTCCTCACTGCGCTGGTGAAGAAAGCTACTCATCATCGACTGCAGACTGAGGCAGCCGCTGCTGGTGGAGCTGCCACTGCTCCTACCACCCCACCCCTCCCCTGCTGCCATGGCAGCGGAACGCGAGCGCACAGGGCCCACAGTGTCTGAGGATGGACGTTGGCGCACAAAGGAGAGACCAACTGACTACATAGGTGGTTTTTTATAGTACGTTATTTTGGCCTCCCTCTCAGCAGGTGTGAAAAAGGCCACCATTTTTGAACGGTAGCGAGGGTCCAACAAGGTGGACAGCCAAAAGTCATCCCTCTGTCTGATGGTTATTATTCGGCTGTCGCTACGCACGCAAGCAACCGAGCATGCTATGGGCCATTTGTGCCAAGGAATGCGAGGGACTCCCTGCCTCCATCTCCACAGCATACTGCCACGGTGCGTCTGGGTCCTCTGTCTCCTCCTCCTCCTCCTCTACCAGATGCTCCTGCTCCTCCACTCCTGTCCGCTGAGTGGAAAAACCACCCATTTCACTCAATAATTCCTGAGCACAAATGTCCTCCTCTACCTCCTCCTCTTCTTCCTGTCCTGCCCCCACAGGGGTCATGTGGCGTTGAGATCTGTGCGCCACGTCTACCGCACCCTGACCAGCCATTGTTAACAGCATTTGTTCAAGGAGCGTGCAACAGAGGAATGACGTCGTTCATCCCATAGTCCTGCCGACTCACGAATAGCGTGGCCTCCTCAAAGGGCCTGAGCAAGCGGCAGGTGTCACGCATGAGCTGCCAATGGCTGACATCGAAGTTACACAGGGGAGTACCTTTATCCGCTTGTAACATCAGGAAATCGGTGATGGCCTTTCGCTGCTCGTAAAGGCGGTCTAACATGTGTAGGGTTGAATTCCACCTTGTTGCAACGTCGCAGATCAGGCGATGATGTGGAATTCCGTTCTGCCGCTGCAGCTCAAGGAGGGTGTGCTTTGCGGTGTAGGAATGGCTGAAATGCATGCAAAGTTTACGTGACATTTTAAGGATGTCTTGCAGTGGGATGGTGGATTTTAGGAACCGCTTGACAACCAGATTGAACACGTGAGCCATGCATGGCGCATGGCACAACCTTCCTTGACGCAGAGCAGACACCATGTTCTTTCCGTTGTCGGTCAACATGGTTCCGATTTTCAGTTTGCGCGGGAGACAGCCATCTGTCGATTTCTCTGTTCATTACACTCAAGTTCCTCCCCTGTGTGACTACGTTCGCCAAGGCATACCAGGTGCAGAACAGCGTGACACCGTTGCGCCCTGCACATGTGATATGCCGGTCGGGTAATGGGACTTGGCACGGGGGTGGCGGGCGGAGGACACGGCGGAAGAAGAGGTGGTAGAGGCGGACATCTTTGCCGGACCAAGGACGTGCAAACGTGGAGGCAAAAGCGGCGTGACCTGTCCAAGTTGCTGGTGCGGCTGTGACGGCACCACGTTCACCCAGTGGGCCGTAAATGACATGTACTGTCCCTGACCGTAGTTACAGCTCCACACGTCGGCGCTGCCGTGCACTTTGGCAGAGACCGACATGCTCAAAGACTGGCCCACCATGTCTTCTACATGTGAATGCAGGGCTGGCACTGCCTTTTTGGCGAAGAAATGACGGCTTGGCACTCTCCACCGCGGCGCGGCACAAGCCATCATTTCTCTGAAAGGTGCTGAGTCCACCACTTGGAAAGGGAGGGACTGCAGCACCAGCAACTTGGACAGGAGGACGTTCAGCTTTTGCACCGTCGGGTGCGTGCTCGCAAACTGTTGTCTCTTGGAAACGGATTCCAAGAAAGACTGCTGACGGAATCCGTGAAGAGGAGTAGCAGGAGAAGGAGCATCTGAACGAGCGGAAGATGCCAACGAGCGACAACTCCCCTCAGCAGAGGTGTTGGAGCCTTGACTGGCTGATGGAGGGCGATTGACGTCGGGTGACGGAGCAAGTAACGGAGCGGGTGATGGAGCGGGGGCTGGGGCGGGCAGAAACCGCCGTATCTTTATCACGGTTTTCCCAGGCCACCAAATGGCGACGCTGCATATGCTGCCGCAACGCTGTAGTCCCAACATGGGCCCCCTGGCCACGCTTGACTTTCTGGCCACATAGTCGACATACGGCTACGTTTACTTCCTCGGGCGGCTTGACGAAAAAATTGCCACACCGCCGAGTAGGAAACTTTGCCCCCGATACTCCTCACTGGCTGACTGCTGCTCCTCCGTGCACACCGGCACCACTACTGGCCGTGGTGGTAGGCTGCAGTGGAGCTGGTGCTCTACTCCGTGGCCGTTTGGCTCCACTGACACTGCTTCCACTGACACTGCTGCGACCCTGCTGCTGTCTCCTGGGCAACCCACCGACTGTTTCGCTCACTGCCAAGCTGCCACCCTCTTCTCCTGATGATGCGGAAAAAATTGCCTGATGACGACGAGGCTGCCAAGTGCGATCAACCTCCTCATCATCAAGTAGGGTCTCCGCCTCACTACTAGCCCCCTCGGCTGCGTCTGGGTCAGGAGACAGACCTGTCTCTAGACCGGCTACCGGGCCACTCTCCTCGCCACTACTTCTTCGCCTGGCTGCTGAAAAGGCGGATGTCTCCCCCCCGTTCCTGACCGCCCTCTGTTAGCTCTTCCTCACTGTACAGTGGGGCTGAGCCCACAGCATGCGATACTTCGCTTGGTGAGGGAACACCAAAGGACAGGGGCAGGTAGAGGACACGTGATTTCAGTGGGCTTGGTCCCGGGCCATGCCAACTAACGGTTGTGTCTGACGTACCCACCGACCGTTGGCTGTAGGTGTCAGAGGTGACCTGGGAAGAGGAAGACGACCGAGCCAACCAATCGATGACGGCAGGGTTGTCGGTGGAGACACGACCGCTGGATGACACCGGGAGCACTGGCCTCTGGCTGCGAATAGTGCTGCCTCGACCCCCCCTTCTCTGCTGCCACGTCTGCTCGCTCCTAAAACATTTGCCTCCTCTGCCACTCCTCTGCATGTTGTCTGACATACTCTTTAATTCAACGATTCTGTGTCCCTGAGTAACAATTCTGTGTCCCTGAGTAACAATTCTGTGTCTGTCCCTGAGTAACAATTCTGTGGCCCTAAGTAACGGTTCTGTGGCCCTCAGTAACAATTCTGTGTCCCCTCAGTAACAATTCTGTGTCTGTCCCTGAGTAACAATTCTGTGGCCCTAAGTAACGTTCTGTGGCCCTCAGTAACAATTCTGTGTCCCCCTGATTAACGTTTATGTGGCCCTAAGTAACGGTTTCTGTGGCCCTCAGTAACGGTTCTGTGGCCCTCAGTAACAATTCTGTGTCCCTGTCCCTGATTAACGTTTCTGTGTCCCTAAGTAACAATTTCTGTGGCCCTCAGTAACAATTCTGTGTCCCTCAGTAACAATTCTGTGTCTGTGTCCTGAGTAACAATTCTGTGGCCCTAAGTAACGGTTCTGTGGCCTCAGTAACAATTCTGTGTCCCTGATTAACGTTTCTGTGGCCCTAAGTAACGGTTCTGTGGCCCTCAGTAACAATTCTGTGTCCCTGATTAACAATTCTGTGTCCCTAAGTAACGGTTCTGTGGCCCTGGCCCTAACAATTCTGTGTGTCCCTCAGTAACAATTCTGTGTCTGTCCCTGATAACAATTCTGTGGCCCTAAGTAACGGTTCTGTGGCCCTCAGTAACAATTCTGTGTCCCTCAGTAACAATTCTGTGTCTGTGGCCCTGATAACAATTCTGTGTCTGTCCCTGATAAGTAACGGTTCTGTGTAACAATTCCTCAGTAACAATTCTGTGTCCCTGAGTAACGTTTCTGTGGCCCTAAGTAACGGTTCTGTGGCCTCAGTAACAATTCTGTGTCCCTCAAGTAACAATTCTGTGTCTGTCCTGAGTAACAATTCTGTGGCCCTAGTAACGGTTCTGTGGCCCTAAGTAACAATTCTGTGTCCCTGATTAACGTTTGTGTGGCCCTAAGTAACGGTTCTGTGTCCCTCAGTAACAATTCTGTGTCCCTGAGTAACAATTCTGTGGCCCTAAGTAACAATTCTGTGGCCCTCAGTAACAATTCTGTGTCCCTGTGTAACAATTCTGTGTCTGTGCGAGTAAACAATTCTGTGGCCCTAAGTAACAGTTCTGTGGCCCTCAGTAACAATTCTGTGTCCCTGAGTAACAATTCTGTGGCCCTAAGTAACGGTTCTGTGGCCCTCAGTAACAATTCTGTGTCCCTGTGTAACAATTCTGTGTCTGTCCCGAGTAACAATTCTGTGGCCCTAAGTAACGGTTCTGTGGCCCTCAGTAACAATTCTGTGTCCCTGTGTAACAATTCTGTGTCTGTGCGAGTAACAATTCTGTGGCCCTAAGTAACAGTTCTGTGGCCCTCAGTAACAATTC